TATCAAAGAACACCTTACTAGGGGGGCAAAAACATCCTGCAGAAATACACGCGTTATCAAAGAACACCTTACTAGGGGGGCAAAAACATCCTGCAGAAATACACGCGTTATCAAAGAACACCTTACTAGGGGGGCAAAAACATCCTGCAGAAATACACGCGTTATCAAAGAACACCTTACTAGGGGGGCAAAAACATCCTGCAGAAATACACGCGTTATCAAAGAACACCTTACTAGGGGGGCAAAAACATCCTGCAGAAATACACGCGTTATCAAAGAACACCTTACTAGGGGGGCAAAAACATCCTGCAGAAATACACGCGTTATCAAAGAACACCTTACTAGGGGGGCAAAAACATCCTGCAGAAAATTAAAGTGTTATCAAAGAACACCTTACTAGAGGGGCAAAAACATCCTGCAGAAATACACGCGTTATCAAAGAACACCTTACTAGGGGGGCAAAAACATCCTGCAGAAATACACGCGTTATCAAAGAACACCTTACTAGGGGGGCAAAAACATCCTGCAGAAATACACGCGTTATCAAAGAACACCTTACTAGGGGGGCAAAAACATCCTGCAGAAATACACGCGTTATCAAAGAACACCTTACTAGGGGGGCAAAAACATCCTGCAATAATACACGCGTTATCAAAGAACACCTTACTAGGGGGGCAAAAACATCCTGCAGAAATAAACGCGTTATCAAAGAACACCTTACTAGGGGGGCAAAAACATCCTGCAATAATACACGCGTTATCAAAGAACACCTTACTAGGGGGGCAAAAACATCCTGCAGAAATACACGCGTTATCAAAGAACACCTTACTAGGGGGGCAAAAACATCCTGCAGAAAATTAAAGTGTTATCAAAGAACACCTTACTAGAGGGGCAAAAACATCCTGCAGAAATACACGCGTTATCAAAGAACACCTTACTAGGGGGGCAAAAACATCCTGCAGAAATACACGCGTTATCAAAGAACACCTTACTAGGGGGGCAAAAACATCCTGCAGAAATACACGCGTTATCAAAGAACACCTTACTAGGGGGGCAAAAACATCCTGCAGAAATACACGCGTTATCAAAGAACACCTTACTAGGGGGGCAAAAACATCTTGCAATAATACACGCGTTATCAAAGAACACCTTACTAGGGGGGCAAAAACATCCTGCAGAAAATTAAAGTGTTATCAAAGAACACCTTACTAGAGGGGCAAAAACATCCTGCAGAAATACACGCGTTATCAAAGAACACCTTACTAGGGGGGCAAAAACATCCTGCAGAAATACACGCGTGATCAAAGAACACCTTACTAGGGGGCAAAAACATCCTGCAATAATACACGCGTTATCAAAGAACACCTTACTAGGGGGGCAAAAACATCCTGCACAAAATTAAAGTGTTATCAAAGAACACCTTACTAGGGGGGCAAAAACATCCTGCAGAAATACACGCGTTATCAAAGAACACCTTACTAGGGGGGCAAAATCATCCTGCAGAAATACACGCGTTATCAAAGAACACCTTACTAGGGGGGCAAAAACATCCTGCAGAAATACACGCGTTATCAAAGAACACCTTACTAGGGGGCAAAAACATCCTGCAATAATACACGCGTTATCAAAGAACACCTTACTAGGGGGGCAAAAACATCCTGCACAAAATTAAAGTGTTATCAAAGAACACCTTACTAGGGGGGCAAAAACATCCTGCAGAAATACACGCGTTATCAAAGAACACCTTACTAGGGGGGCAAAAACATCCTGCAGAAATACACGCGTTATCAAAGAACACCTTACTAGGGGGCAAAAACATCCTGCAATAATACACGCGTTATCAAAGAACACCTTACTAGGGGGGGCAAAAACATCCTGCACAAAATTAAAGTGTTATCAAAGAACACCTTACTAGGGGGGCAAAAACATCCTGCAGAAATACACGCGTTATCAAAGAACACCTTACTAGGGGGGCAAAAACATCCTGCAGAAATACACGCGTTATCAAAGAACACCTTACTAGGGGGGCAAAAACATCCTGCAGAAATAAACGCGTTATCAAAGAACACCTTACTAGGGGGGCAAAAACATCCTGCACAAAATTAAAGTGTTATCAAAGAACACCTTACTAGGGGGGCAAAAACATCCTGCAGAAATACACGCGTTATCAAAGAACACCTTACTAGGGGGGCAAAAACATCCTGCAGAAATACACGCGTTATCAAAGAACACCTTACTAGGGGGGCAAAAACATTCTGCAGAAATACACGCGTTATCAAAGAATACCTTACTAGGGGGGCAAAAACATCCTGCAGAAATAAACGCGTTATCAAAGAACACCTTACTAGAGGGGCAAAAACATCCTGCAGAAATACACGCGTTATCAAAGAACACCTTACTAGGGGGGCAAAAACATCCTGCAGAAAATTAAAGTGTTATCAAAGAACACCTTACTAGGGGGGCAAAAACATCCTGCAGAAATAAACGCGTTATCAAAGAACACCTTACTAGGGGGGCAAAAACATCCTGCAATAATACACGCGTTATCAAAGAACACCTTACTAGGGGGGCAAAAACATCCTGCAGAAATAAACGCGTTATCAAAGAACACCTTACTAGGGGGGGCAAAAACATCTTGCAATAATACACGCGTTATCAAAGAACACCTTACTAGGGGGGCAAAAACATCCTGCAGAAAATTAAAGTGTTATCAAAGAACACCTTACTAGAGGGGCAAAAACATCCTGCAGAAATACACGCGTTATCAAAGAACACCTTACTAGGGGGGCAAAAACATCCTGCAGAAATACACGCGTTATCAAAGAACACCTTACTAGGGGGCAAAAACATCCTGCAATAATACACGCGTTATCAAAGAACACCTTACTAGGGGGGCAAAAACATCCTGCACAAAATTAAAGTGTTATCAAAGAACACCTTACTAGGGGGGCAAAAACATCCTGCAGAAATACACGCGTTATCAAAGAACACCTTACTAGGGGGGCAAAAACATCCTGCAGAAATACACGCGTTATCAAAGAACACCTTACTAGGGGGGCAAAAACATCCTGCAGAAATACACGCGTTATCAAAGAACACCTTACTAGGGGGGCAAAAACATCCTGCAGAAATACACGCGTTATCAAAGAACACCTTACTAGGGGGGCAAAAACATCCTGCAGAAATACACGCGTTATCAAAGAACACCTTACTAGGGGGGGCAAAAACATCCTGCAGAAATACACGCGTTATCAAAGAACACCTTACTAGGGGGGCAAAAACATCCTGCAGAAATACACGCGTTATCAAAGAACACCTTACTAGGGGGGCAAAAACATCCTGCAGAAATACACGCGTTATCAAAGAACACCTTACTAGGGGGGCAAAAACATCCTGCAGAAATACACGCGTTATCAAAGAACACCTTACTAGGGGGGCAAAAACATCCTGCAATAATACACGCGTTATCAAAGAACACCTTACTAGGGGGGCAAAAACATCCTGCAGAAAATTAAAGTGTTATCAAAGAACACCTTACTAGGGGGGCAAAAACATCCTGCAGAAATACACGCGTTATCAAAGAACACCTTACTAGGGGGGCAAAAACATCCTGCAGAAATACACGCGTTATCAAAGAACACCTTACTAGAGGGGCAAAAACATCCTGCAGAAATACACGCGTTATCAAAGAACACCTTACTAGGGGGGCAAAAACATCCTGCAGAAATACACGCGTTATCAAAGAACACCTTACTAGGGGGGCAAAAACATCCTGCAGAAATACACGCGTTATCAAAGAACACCTTACTAGAGGGGCAAAAACATCCTGCAGAAATACACGCGTTATCAAAGAACACCTTACTAGAGGGGCAAAAACATCCTGCAGAAATACACGCGTTATCAAAGAACACCTTACTAGGGGGGCAAAAACATCCTGCAATAATACACGCGTTATCAAAGAACACCTTACTAGGGGGGCAAAAACATCCTGCAGAAATACACGCGTTATCAAAGAACACCTTACTAGGGGGGCAAAAACATCCTGCAGAAATACACGCGTTATCAAAGAACACCTTACTAGGGGGACAAAAACATCCTGCAGAAATACACGCGTTATCAAAGAACACCTTACTAGGGGGGCAAAAACATCCTGCAATAATACACGCGTTATCAAATAACACCTTACTAGGGGGGCAAAAACATCCTGCAGAAATACACGCGTTATCAAAGAACACCTTACTAGGGGGGCAAAAACATCCTGCAGAAATACACGCGTTATCAAAGAACACCTTACTAGGGGGGCAAAAACATCCTGCAATAATACACGCGTTATCAAAGAACACCTTACTAGGGGGGCAAAAACATCCTGCAGAAATACACGCGTTATCAAAGAACACCTTACTAGGGGGGCAAAAACATCCTGCAGAAATACACGCGTTATCAAAGAACACCTTACTAGGGGGGCAAAAACATCCTGCAGAAATACACGCGTTATCAAAGAACACCTTACTAGGGGGGCAAAAACATCCTGCAGAAATAAACGCGTTATCAAAGAACACCTTACTAGGGGGGCAAAAACATCCTGCAATAATACACGCGTTATCAAAGAATACCTTACTAGGGGGGCAAAAACATCCTGCAATAATACACGCGTTATCAAAGAACACCTTACTAGGGGGGCAAAAACATCCTGCAGAAATACACGCGTTATCAAAGAACACCTTACTAGGGGGGCAAAAACATCCTGCAGAAATACACGCGTTATCAAAGAACACCTTACTAGGGGGGCAAAAACATCCTGCAGAAATAAACGCGTTATCAAAGAACACCTTACTAGGGGGGCAAAAACATCCTGCAGAAAATTAAAGTGAATTTTAATACACTTTATATTTAAATACACTTTAAATACACTTGTTTTTTTTAAAAAGCTTGCCCGGGGCAAAAAAAGAGAAAAGTGAAATTGACATTGAAAGTTAAAGTGAAAGTGAAAGCGGACCAACCTTCCACACAAACACTTCTATCACAGTCAGGATCAGGGTCGGAGCATGTAGCTGCACATTCTGATCCGCAGTGGTTAAACTGGAAATCATTGTCACATGGCAGGGCTGAGGGAACATTACAGTAACGTTATTCAAATAAAATCAAATAATTGTTTATGATAATGATAGATTTTAACCACAAACTACTTTCGACTAAAATTTTGGCTAAATTGTAGACAACGTGATAAAAAATAAAAACAAGAAAATGTTGAAAATTTAACTCACGACAGAATTGAGCAGTTCTCCAGTTGACGCTGATGCCTCTCTCACTGCACTGGTCAGCATAAGAAGCCACAGTCGCACAGCCGCAGTGCCTGTCTCCCATACACATGCAGACATCTACCAGACATGCCTCATAGAAACCAGATCTATCCACAACAGAGTGACAAGAGGAGAACATCGTCTCTAAAGATGTGGTTAGTTTTATAAGGAGGAGAACATCGTCTCTAAAGATGTGGTTAGTTTTATAAGGAGGAGAACATCGTCTCTAAAGATGTGGTTAGTTTTATAAGGAGGAGAACATCGTCTCTAAAGATGTGGTTAGTTTTTTATTATATATATTATTATTATAATAGAGTAATATGTTTAATCGTGCTTTCGGTATATTGCACTTTAAGTTTAAAACACGATTTGGCACAAAAATTATCAAAATTAAAGCAACAAATTCCTTGCCAAATTATGGGGCTTTTTTGTAAAGATATAGTGCGCGCCTTTAGTAAATATAATATAATTAAAAACTAGCGAGACGCGTACTCGTAGTAAATATAATATAATTATATAATTATAAAGTTGTTACCGTTGAGTTTGGAGCAAACGTCACGTGCAATGTCCCATAGTTCAGGTTGGTCATCACACACGTGGGGAGGGGGAGGTGGGTCCGGACAAAACTGAAACGTTTATAAAGGAGCTGTCAAGGTTACTAGTGTACATACTAGTGTACACTATTAACCTCAGTATAGTGTATACCTCATACGTGCTATACACTAGTGTACACTACTAACCTCCTCGTCTTTTTCCTTCCAACTGTTCCCGAACTGATTAAGGTCGTCTGTGAGCGCTCCTTCTCTTGTCTGGTACTCGTCCTGCTTGTTATCGTTCCAGGTCCCACACAAACCCTGATATGTTCATATTACTACTGATATTCTTTACTGATATTACTACTGATATTACTACTGATATTACTACTGATATTACTACTGATATTACTACTGATAAATTATATTACTACTGATATTACTACTGATATTACTACTGATATTACTACTGATATTACTACTGATAACTGAGGTTAATACTTATAACTGATATTACTAAATACTAGTTATTAAGTGTTTTTAATATTTCTTTGTTTATTTTTGCTTACTTGAGTGGTGCCCTTGTATAGTCCCTCTAGTTCTATTTCTATTCTGTGATTACCGTCAAACTTCAGTGTCATGAGATCAGAACCTGCAATGTACTGCATTGTATGTGTGTAATGTATAGATATATCTATAATTACTTCTGAGCTTAGTTAACTAAGTCTTAGTGAAATTTGGCTCAACTGAGATTAAAAATATTTTATAAACATAAAAAAGAAAAGAAAGAAAATACGAGTATAATCGATCAAAACAATTGCCAAATCCTTTTAAATTATTTTCAACTTACTAACTAGTAGTTTCTTACCCTCCTTGTGTATTTTGAAGTAAGTGTGAGCGCCAATCTTTTTAACATCGACAGTGTATCCGTCCGGGAATACTTTCCGGTAAGGAACTACTTTTTGTATTTCATTTATCTGCAGCAGAACAAAATGTTACAGAAGGTAATCTGAATAATTGTTGACGATTAAAAATTAAGTTTGGTTTGAACTGGTATTAACTCCATGGTTAATTATGATAGTGGTTACTAGTGGTAACTTGTGGTAACTAGTGGTAACTAGTGGTTACTAGTGGTAACTAGTGGTTACTAGTGGTTACTAGTGGTAACTAGTGGTTACTAGTGGTAACTAGGTGTTAACTTACGGAGAAGAGATGTCCCTTTTTAATGCTGTACTCGCTGTCTTTAAACCAGATCATCACTTCTTTAGTCCATGTGACTGCAGCGTTGCCATGCCGTACCTCGTTACCATGGTGAACTTCAAAATCAGCTGTTTTTACCAACACATACTTGCATACACCCTGCACGATATAAGTTCAGCTCGCATTACATTCATCTTTTACCAATCAGATGATTTGGTTCAAATCAGAATCACTTTAACATGTCAAAAGTATGTGCAAATATTTAGAATTACTCGAAACACTCTGAACACTTTGCAGTTTGCTTTTATTAGCTGTATTATACTGTATATTACTATATATAATATATATATATATATATATATATATATATATATCCACCAGCGGGCTATATTTGCGCTGCATTGCAGGCCCGCTAGTTAAAAGGCCTGATATAGTGATATTTGTCAGCCCGCTGATATAGCCCGCATGAAATTTGACAGGATAAGAGGTTCACTTTATTTTTGTGTCCGGTAAGACTGATTATATAACTCGCGAGCAGATGACATGAAACCTGAACAGTATTAGGGTCTGCCCACACTACGCCTCTATTCCCCGAATGTCTGCCCACACTACGCCATGTTTTGACGGGCCACATGGCGTGGGTCAAAAAAACCGGATTCACACAACGAGGCGCGTAGTGGGAGTAGAGCTCCCGCCAGTTGGTGTGGAAACTGATCTCGGGGAATTCTGGCACGGATTTTAAAAATCCGTGCTTCTATTCCCCGAGAGTTTCCACGCCAAGGCGTAGTGTGGGCATACATTCGGGGAATAGAGGCGTAGTGTGGGCAGACCCTTATTGATCCACACTACACTTTAATAATTCCCACGGCAATATACTTATAGTAATACAAAGAATGTATCAGCTCTGACTCAGAGCTCAGCCCCTATCCCCTATTATATCATCCAGTCGGCGCATAATTGGCTCATATTGAACACGCGACATACTAGTGTTACTATGGTTACAAAATTCGTGGCGACTTGAAGTCTGCGTCTCTAATCTCTATTACATTGTATTAGTATTATTAATTGTTTTGTGTTCACCATTTCTATATAAAATTTTCACTATTTCAGTTGATAAACCTTGAAATTTTTGACGTGTAATTGTTTTGTGTTCCCGAACTGAAAGATATTTTACCCTGTTAAAAAAAAACTGCCATTAAGATTTATATGTTTTGAATTTGATCTTTAACTTTCATATTCAATGTCTATGATCAGACTGTGATCTCGAGCTCTCTGGGTTACTCCTTTTGATGGTATAAACTGTAAGTTGAATTAGTTTTTTATATTTAGGCCGTGCTTGTACTTGAAAATATATACCGAATAGAAACTTGCCCTGTTTTGACACCGCCAGTGGAATGATGTTTTTGCGAATTTTACGTTTTACTCTCACGTTTTCTTCGTTTCAAACTCCTGGTAACTTTAGAAATTTAGTCGTATATGCTTACAGTTGACAAACTCACATTCATGTCGCATGAGTCTCATGCGCGCGGCAAGTGCCTATTATCTTGATCCTTTACATTATATCTTGATCCTTTACATTAAAATAATTATGTAATGATTATATCTTGATCCTTAACATTAAAATATGTACATGCAGTGGCGTAACGTTGCCTGCTGGCGCCCCCGCCGAAAAAGAGCCCCCCTGTTGGCGCCCCCTCGGCCCTCCCCTTTTGGTGCCCCTCCCTAAAATTGGACAAATTATGTGATTTTAGAGGATATATTTATAGATATATACGCCGGTAAAATCTCTAAAAAAGTGTGTATCTAGAGCAAAACGCGCAGTTTTGCTAGTACTTTAGTTACTAGCAAATTAAGTTTTTTTTTACAATTAAGTTTTCGAAATTGTCCCACATTCAAAAGACCATTTGGCGCCCCCGGGCTCAACGGGCCCTCCAAGGCTGCGTTGATATATATATATATATATATATATATGTACAATGAAAACAACGATTCTACAAACTCAGAGTTTCATGCAAATGCAATCGTCAGTGTTAGAATAACTTACTAAATTAATAATAAATTAATAAATCCATGTTTTCCTTACAAGCTCCTTCATAAAATTAACTTAACTAAACTAAATCAAAAACAAAATCAAACGAAACGAAACGAAAATGAAATACAAGAACAAAAACTAAAATTAAAATAAAATATTCCTAAAAGCATTTCTTCAGCATAAACTTGTTGGTGTGCCTACATTTACTTATGAGTTCCCTCCTCCTATTTAATAGATTGCCATCTTTATTTAAAATAATATAAAGTTTTTCAGTAAGGCAGAGATGACAATCTTTCGTACCCCCCTTGTACGGATGAGCATGTTTGATTATTTTCCAAGATATTTTATATGGTGTTTGGAAAATAATCAAACATGCTCATCCGTACAAGGGGGGTACGAAAGATTGTCATCTCTGCCTTACTGAAAAACTTTATATTATTTTAAATAAAGATGGCAATCTATTAAATAGGAGGAGGGAACTCATAAGTAAATGTAGGCACACCAACAAGTTTATGCTGAAGAAATGCTTTTAGGAATATTTTATTTTAATTTTAGTTTTTGTTCTTGTATTTCATTTTCGTTTCGTTTCGTTTGATTTTGTTTTTGATTTAGTTTAGTTAAGTTAATTTTATGAAGGAGCTTGTAAGGAAAACATGGATTTATTAATTTAGTAAGTTATTCTAACACTGACGATTGCATTTGCATGAAACTCTGAGTTTGTAGAATCGTTGTTTTCATTGTATAATGCTCCCCTCCCGGGTAGAGCACTCTTGAAACTGGATTTCTCCAAAAGAAACATCATATATATATATGTATGTATATATATGTATAAGCTGACCTGGAAGTGGTGCCATATTTTATCAAATGTGAAGTAGTGCGGATCTCCGGTAATAACACAAGTAGCGGGTTTGGGAATGCACTTCTTGCAACATTCCTTATCGTAGCTGGCTACCTGGCCTGCAGCACACACTACATCTGCCTGCTCATCGCACTTACAATCCAACTGAAGGGGAGATATTAGTTACATTACCTTATAGGGTATTGTCGCTTTAGTTACATTAAAAGGTATTGTTGCTATAGTTACATCACCATATAAGGTATTGTCGCTATAGTTACATTACCATGATAAGGTATTGTTACTATAGTTACATTACCATATAAGGTATTGTTGCTATAGTTACATTGCCATATAAGGTATTGTTGCTATAGTTACATTACCATGATAAGGTATTGTTACTAAAGTTACATTACCATATAAGGTATTGTCGCTATAGTTAAATTACCATATAAGGTATTGTCGCTATATAAGTTACATTACCATATAAGGTATTGTCGCTATAGATAAATTACCATATAAGGTATTGTCGCTATAGTTACATTACCATATAAGGTATTGTTGCTATAGTTAAATTACCATATAAGGCATTGTTGCTATAGTTACATTGCCATATAAGGTATTGTCGCTATAGTTACATTACCATATAAGTTATTGTTGCTATAGTTACATTACCATATAAGGTATTTTGCACACTACATCTAGCTGCTGATGGGTGTGAGATTGGTAAACATGCCATTATTTAACTGTTTTAATGTTTTTAACCAGACACTGCAGAGTTTTCGCGTGTTCCATACCCTTATATGGGCATCACGTGGTACATACCTGACCAAACTTCATACAGCGACACGTCTCACACTTCTTAGTGCGAATAGTTTCCTCCCACTCCAGCTCAACAGCTCCTCCCCCCTCCACCTCAATATGACACTGTACAGCCTGACAAACCATGGTATTCTTGAACCCAACTGTGTTTCCTTTGTAGTACTTTCCGTTCCTTTAATTTTATTTATTATTTTATCAAATATAACTTATAATAAAAAGAGTAAATTTTAATTATTTTAAATATAACCAATAGCAAATTATTAATCATTATATTCAATAAAATAGTTTTTGAATATTTTTAATGAGATACTTTACAAATTTGACATCAATAGGGGGTCATTCAAATATTACGTAATCAGTCGAGGGGGGAGGGGGGTTCCAAATGATTACGCTAGTGTAATTTTGACACAATAGCTATGTGTAAAAATAATCACGGAGGGGGGTCAAAAATTGGCCAAAAAGTGATTACTTAATGTATGTGAACGACCCTTAAGTGATCAGTAAGAAGAGTTTATAGTCTATACATTGTTATATTTGATATATCTCGTAACGTAATGAAATGAGTTTATGTATTATCATATCAAATAAAACTACCAGAATAGTATCACGTGGTAAGAGCTGCTGGACTGCCCTTATATGGGCATCACGTAGCCCCCTCACCTGGTAAGAGCCGCTGCACTGTTTCTTCCTGGAAATCTAGAGGTGAACTGCTTAACTAACAATCCGTCAGCTTTTATCTGCGGGATCAGTCGTGTGAGTGGCAAACTCCCTCCCTCCCCTCCCCTCCCCTCCCTCACCCCTCACCTCTCCCTTTCCCTCACACATCCCCTCACCCATCCCCTCACCCCTCCCCTCCCTCTCCCTCTCCCTCTCCCTCTCCCTCTCCCTCTCCCTCTCCCTCTCCCTCTCCCTCTCCCTCTCCCTCTCCCTCTCCCTCTCCCTCTCCCTCTCCCTCTCCCTCTCCCTCTCCCTCTCCCTCTCCCTCTCCCCCATCCCTCCCCCCTCTTACCCCTCCCTCACACACCCCCTCTCCCTCTCCCTCTCCCTCCCCCTCACCCCTCCCCTTCCTCCCCCCTCTTCCCCTCCCTCTTCCTTCCCTCACCCTCCCTCTCCCTCCCTCTCCCTCTCCCTCTCCCCCTCCCTCACCCTCCCCTTACCCTTCCCTCTCCCTCCCCCTCACCCCTCCGCTTCCTCCCCCTCTTCCCCTCCCTCTTCCTTCCCTCACCCTCCCTCTCCCTCCCTCTCCCTCTTCCCCGCACCCCTCCCTCACCCTCCCCTTACCCCTCCCTCTTCCTTCCCTCACCCTCCCACTCCCTCCCCTCCCTCCCCCTCTTCACCTCCCTCTTCCTTCCCTCACCCTCCCCTTACCCCTCCCTCTCCTTCTCCCTCTCCCCCGCACCCCTCCCTCACCCTCCCCTTACCCTCCCCTTACCCCTCCCTCTCCCTCTCCCTCTCCCTCTTCCTTCCCTCACCCTCCCCTTACCTCTCCCTCTCCCTCTCCCTCTCCCTCTCCCTCTCCCTCTCCCTCTCCCTCTCCCTCTCCCTCTCCCTCTCCCTCTCCCTCTCCCTCTTCCTTCCCTCACCCTCCCCTTACCTCTCCCTCTCCCTCTCCCTCTCCCTCTCCCTCTCCCTCTCCCTCTCCCTCTCCCTCTCCCTCTCCCTCTCCCTCTCCCTCTCCCTCTCCCTCTCCCTCTCCCTCTCCCCTCCCTCCTCTCCCTCTCCCTCTCCCTCTCCCTCTCCCTCTCCCTCTCCCTCTCCCTCTCCCTCTCCCTCTCCCTCTCCCTCTCCCTCTCCCTCTCCCTCTCCCTCTCCCTCTCCCCTCCCTCCCCTCCCTCCCCCTCTTCACCTCCCTCTTCCTTCCCTCACCCTCCCCTTACCCCTCCCTCTCCTTCTCCCTCTCCCCCGCACCCCTCCCTCACCCTCCCCTTACCCTCCCCTTACCCCTCCCTCTCCCTCTCCCTCTCCCTCTTCCTTCCCTCACCCTCCCCTTACCTCTCCCTCTCCCTCTCCCTCTCCCTCTCCCTCTCCCTCTCCCTCTCCCTCTCCCTCTCCCTCTCCCTCTCCCTCTCCCTCTCCCTCTCCCCTCCCTCCTCTCCCTCTCCCTCTCCCTCTCCCTCTCCCTCTCCCTCTCCCCTCCCTCCTCTCCCTCTCCCTCTCCCTCTCCCTCTCCATCACCCCTCCTCTCCCTTACTCCACCTCCCTCTCCCTCTCCCTCACTTCACCTCCCTCTTCCTTCCCTCACCCTCCCCTTACCTCTCCCTCTCCCTCTCCCTCTCCCTCTCCCTCTCCCTCTCCCTCTCCCTCTCCCTCTTCCTCACCCCTCCCCCGCACCTCTCCCCTCCCTCCTCTCCCTCACCCCTCCTCTCCCTCACTCCACCTCCCTCACCTGAATATTGTGCCCTTTGACTATGACGTGTATGATAAGATCGTCCTGTCCATTAATAGAGATATCTGTACAGGAGCCAGTAGATGTGACCTGCACTGTCGCTCCGTCCTTGTAGCCAGTAGAGTAACAGTGCCGGGGTGTGTTCACTCTGGGGAGAAGTATTGTTAACCTGGTTACCTGGTTATTTGGTTACCTGGTTACCTGGTAACCTGGTAACCTGGTAACCTGATAACCTGGTAACTTGGTAACTTGGTCCATAAGGAAGGGGGATCCTCTACTATTATATTGTAAAGTCTGTTCAGCATAACACTACCTCCTCTAACCTGAAGTAGATGAAGTCGTAGTGGTTCTCATCCCTGATATTGAAGGCTACGCCCACGTGTCCTCTATTATTGCTGTTCATGAATCCTGCCAAACTCTGTAATATGTGGTCATTAAAGCTTTAAATATGTTTAAACTGTCTATATTTAAAGAGAGGTAGTACTACCGAAAGTAGCAGTACTTCTAACCCATGACTTTTTTGGCAGGTTTTTTAACAGTTAAAACCAGTCTCATTATGAATCAAGGATAAAACATTTCCTTGTGTTTAGGAAACCGAACCTCAAGTGTCATCTTGAAGATGTAAGTGCTAGTCTCTGGCAGCTCCTTTCCTCTAGAAAGAGTAGAATTGTAAGCAGCTGTACAAAACTCTGGGAGACGCTCTGATCCGCTCGTTATTGTTTTGTAGGTACCCCACGTACTTACTGCCTTATTGCTACAGTCGTGGATCTGAGGTTATCACTTGTTGTTACTTTGCTAACCTGGTAAACGGGGGGCAACACACTTGTTTGTGCTTTTGTTTACTCTTCGGGGAGAACGAAGCATGAAATTACAATGTAACCTAGTAACCTAGTAACCTAGTAACCTAGTAACCTAGTAACCTAGTAACCAAGTAACCTAGTAACCAAGTAACCTAGTAACCAAGTAACCAAGTAACCTAGTAACCAAGTAACCTAGTTACCTAGTAACCTAGTAATCTAGTAACCTAGTAACCTAGTAACCTAGTAACCTAGTAATCTAGTAACCTAGTAACCTAGTAATCTAGTAATCTAGTAACCTAGTAACCTAGTAACCTTGTAACCTAGTAACCTAGTAACCTAGTAATCTAGTAACCTAGTAACCTAGTAATCTAGTAACCTAGTAACCTAGTAACCTAGTAACCTAGTAACCTAGTAACCTTGTAACCTAGTAACCTAGTAACCTAGTAACCTAGTAACCTAGTAACCTTGTAACCTAGTAATCTAGTGACCTAGTAACCTAGTAACCTAGTAATCTAGTAACCTAGTAATCTAGTAATCTAGTAACCTAGTAACCTAGTAACCTTGTAACCTTGTAACCTAGTAATCTAGTAACCTGGTAATCTAGTAACCTATACTCACGTTCCAGTAGCGCAGGTTCTCGAAACAGGAGAACTCCTCCGGTACTAGCACTTCCACCCTAGTCCTCTTACAAATGTAGCCGTGTTGCGGTCCGAAGGGGTGATCCATTCTGGGAGGTCCTGAGTCGTACCAAGCCCCGTTATCTTTTACAATGGTGTAATCCTCGTTCTTGTAATTGTTAGGCTGCCCCTGTAGTTGTGGGTTTATGTTTACTTTATATTATATATATATATTATACTTTATATTAATAATACTGTTAATATACAGGGGGCCATAAGTCAGTGTGCAAACTTTGTTGTTACTGTCTGGTGAAAACTTAGTTAGACTGTGGTTCTGGAGTCCATCAAGTAATGCGTGGTTGTTAACCTGGTAACCTGGTAACCTGGTAACCTGGTAACCTGGTAACCCGGTAACCTGGTAACCTGGATACGGGCAATTCTGTTCATCTTATCGACTTATAATACTGTTAATATACAGGGGGCCATAAGTCAGTGTGCAAACTTTGTTGTTACTGTCTGGTGAAAACTTAGTTAGACTGTGGTTCTGGAGTCCATCAAGTAATGCGTGGTTGTTAACCTGGTAACCTGGTAACCTGGTAACCTGGTAACCTGGTAACCCGGTAACCTGGTAACCTGGATACGGGCAATTCTGTTCATCTTATCGACTTATAATACTGTTAATATACAGGGGGCCATAAGTCAGTGTGCAAACTTTGTTGTTACTGTCTGGTGAAAACTTAGTTAGACTGTGGTTCTGGAGTCCATCAAGTAATGCGTGGTTGTTAACCTGGTAACCTGGTAACCCGGTAACCTGGTAACCTGGATACGGGCAATTCTGTTCATCTTATCGACTTATTAGTTAGTAAGCACATAGATAGAGGTTTAACTCACAGTGAATGTGTAGTTTAGGCTTACCTTTAATTATATAAAGTTGGTATCATTCAAAAATATTACCCTTGTAATTACTAATTAATTACCCTTGCGTAAGAGCTGAAGTTTACTTCTGTACCATCCAAGTTTTTGTAACTTCCTTCACGATCTTTATCAGTTACTCCTATCCAAGCATACCTTGACCTGATGTGATCCTGGAGGTAGTTTATGTAAGCTGGGTAATTTGGGGGGGGGGGGGGGCACTGAGCTGGGTAATTTGGGGGGGGGGGGGGCACTGAGCTGGGCAATTTGGGGGGGGCACTGAGCTGGGTAATTTTGGGGGGGAGGGGGGCACTGAGCTGGGTAATTTGGGGGGGGGGGCACTGAGCTGGGTAATTTGGGGGGGGGGGGCACTGAGCTGGGTAATTTGGGGGGGGGGCACTGAGCTGGGTAATTTGGGGGGGGGGGCACTGAGCTGGGTAATTGGGGGGGGGGGGGCACTGAGCTGGGTAATTTGGGGGGGGCACTGAGCTGGGTAATTGGGGGGGGGGGGTACTGAGCTGGGTAATTTGGGGTAGGGGGGGCACTGAGCTGGGTAATTTGGGGGGGGGGGGCACTGAGCTGAGTATTTGGGGGGGAGGGGCACTGAGCTGGGTAATTTGGGGGGGGGGCACTGAGCTGGGTAATTTGGGGGGGGGAGCACTGAGCTGGGTAATTGGGGGGGCACTGAGCTGGGTAATTGGGGGGGGGGGCACTGAGCTGGGTAATTTGGGGGGGGGGCACTGTAGAGCTTGGTAATTAAAATAAAAGGGTTTTCATCGAAATCACTTTTGCATGTGGTATCAGTACATTACCTTGATAGCAATGTTTTCATGTACACTGTGTATAGAGGCCAGGTCCCCGCCCCACATTTTACAAGCCTCCTCTGCTTCGTATACACCAACGTGGTGTGCCACACTCATGTACTCATCTGTAAATGATACAAATTATCACGGGGGGGGGGGATCATACACTTAGTACTGTACGTGACGTTGGGGTGGTGGTCATATTTTCTTCCAAAACACAGTTAGAGCTTTTGTACTAAGTGGTGGGTCTGCAGGCACGTAGCCAGGGGGGCTACGGAAAAAATTGAACCCCAGAAAAAAATAAGCCCCCTATTCCCCATGGTCATGATTGCAAAACCTGGTTATTCTTAATCGCTAAATTTTTATTTCTTAAAATTTTTCCGGGGGGCTGCTCTTATCTCCCCTAGCCCCCCGCCCAGGGCCTCGCCCCCCAGTGAGTATAATTTTCCCATTTCCCAATGTTTAATGAGCTGTTTAAAGCAATTTATGGGTTGGTATCTTATTTTATATACCAAAACACAGTTAGTACCGTGATTTCTCAACAGTTAGTACCGCAAAGTACTAATTAATATTTCCCGTATTCGAAGATGACCTCCTCTTACTTACATTTCCCGTATTCGAAGATGACCCCTTCACTCCTCCCATCTTTAAGGTCCGGCATTTCATCTTCTCCCAAATCTTTATCTTTATCACCTGTACAGAACTCTTTATATTACCGACAAGAGAAACTATCATATATATATAATATATATATATACTACAAGAGAAACGCTATTGTCGGACGCGAGGAGAGTGAGGACTCCTCAACTACATTAAACATATTCCTTCTGTAACGTCCTCAATAAATGTAAAATATTTGTTGAGTTGTAATTAGTTTAAAACTATCACACTTATCATTGCTCCTTTTTATCTATTTTTAATACAATGAGATGACCCTTGATAGCGATCATTATAGCAGATAATTGAAGCGTTCTATAAAAAACATAAACCGTTTCTTTTAACCTTGAGAATATTTTCTCCCTCGATCTCTTTTCTTCTTTCTTCCATCAGTTAGCGTCACTCTGAGCAGTGTACTTGCGTTAGTTTATCTTCTTAAATGGTAGAATGACCTTATATGGTAGTGTAACTATGGTGATATTACTTTATATAATGGTAGTGTAATTACTATGGTGATATTACTTTATATAATGGTAGTGTAATTACTATGGTGATATTACCTTATATGGTAGTGTAACTATGGTGTTATTACTTTATATAATGGTAGTGTAACTATGGTGATATTACTTTATATTATGGTAGTGTAACTATGGTGATATTACTTTATATTATGGTAGTGTTACTATGGTGATATTACTTTACATTATGGTAGTGTAACTATGGTGATATTACTTTATATTATGGTAGTGTAACTATGGTGATATTACTTTATATTATGGTAGTGTAACTATGGTGATATTACTTTATATTATGGTAGTGTTACTATGGTGATATTACTTTACATTATGGTAGTGTAACTATGGTGATATTACTTTATATCGTAGTATCGATAAAAAACTGACTCAAAGTATCAAATAATACTATTAGCTTCCTCCCTGTGACCACGGGTTTTCTACTTACTTTATATCATATATATATATTTAGTTATATGGTACAGTAAAACTCCGATTTACCGTACCTCATCTCACAAAATGTTTGAAAATACCTACATAACATTTTCAGCTACTTATCTATATTATATTTTAAACTTGGCGAAATCTCCCGGTAACGGTATAAAAACACTGTAAATTGACCAAAAAGTGACCCTCCGTTGAACTTGAAGACAAATTCAGCTCGCAAATGGAGTTATAAACTCGAGATTTTTAGTAAGGTTGCAGAAAAAGAAAATGCAAAGGGCATAGCATTCTTAGAATTTTGATTTAGGCTTTAGATTTTTTATAAATAACGTCAGAAGTGAGGGAAAATAAACGTTAGAATAATGGTGTTATTTCAGCGAAGCTTAGCAAACCTCAAAAGATTGCTCGTGCATGCAAGCAATTATCATCAACTAGTAAGAATACGTGAAGTTTCCAATCAATAAGCCCGAAAAAAATTGAATTTAGACCCTGTTAAATTTTGTCCGGAATACGTCTAAAATTTGTACGAAATACGCGCGCAGATCAAAATGTATTGTAAAAAATCGTTCTTACTCCACAGTGGAAATCGAAATACGCGAATTTTCGGCGACAAATACGTTTGCGTATGCATACGTATGCTTGAAACGCTACGTATTTAACAGCATTGTTATTAGGAAAGAAATCATAAATCCAATTTTTTAAAGCCGGGATAGTCTTCAGATGTATTGCCTAAAAACATTTTATAAACTTTTAATTTGATTACTCTCATCTTTTCATAACAACTTTTGTTTTTAAAAGTAGAAAAAGGGAAAACATTCTGAAATTAAAATCATCGGCAGCATTTTAAGTAAGTATTCGATTTCTAGACCGACCTTAAATTATCAATGCTATATTTATTTTGATTCCCATCACTGTTTACCACAATCCCCACTAATAAGCAATATTTATACTAATCTATATTGGTAAAAGGGTAATGTAACCATGGTAATGTAACTATGGTAATGTAACCATGGTAATGTAACCATGGTAATGTAACCATGGTAATGTAACCATGGTAATGTATTATGTAACCATGGTAATGTAACCATGGTAATGTAACCATGGTAATGTATTATGTAACCATGGTAATGTAACCATGGTATAGTGACCATGGTAATGTAACCATGGTAAAGTGACCATGGTAATGTAACCATGGTAAAGTGACCATGGTAATGTAACCATGGTAAAGTGACCATGGTAATGTAACCATGGTAATGTATTATGTAACCATGGTAATGTAACCATGGTAAAGTGACCATGGTAATGTAACCATGGTAATGTAACCATGGTAAAGTGACCATGGTAATGTAACCATGGTAATGTAACCATGGTAAAGTAACCATGGTAATGTATTATGTAACCATGGTAATGTAACCATGGTAATGTAATCATGGTAAAGTAACCATGGTAAGGTAACCATAGTAAAGTAACCATGGTAAAGTGACCATGGTAAAGTAACCATGGTAAAGTAACCATGGTAAAGTAACCATGGTAAAGTAACCATGGTAAAGTAACCATGGTAAAGTAACCATGGTAAAGTAACCATGGTAAAGTAACCATGGTAAAGTAACCATGGTAAAGTAACCATGGTAAAGTAATGGTAAAGTAACCATGGTAAAGTAACCATGGTAATGTAATGAGTATTATCTATTTGACAACTTACACCAACAATACTAGCAATAGAAGCCTCATCTTTATCTGCTGCTGTGAAGAGATAAAAACGCGAGAACCTTGAAACAACTGACTAACAACTAACTTGTAGCAGTTTTAGTAATCTCTGGATAAAAGTAAACCAATCACACCACTTCGCGGCGATTCAGTCAGCCTATGTAGCACGTGAGCAAATATCCATAGCACGTGAGAAAATCTCTTTAATCTTATTTGTAGGATTTAGGCAGGTATGATCTGATGTTACAGCACAGAATTGCAGAAGCTCGGTACGAGAAGAGGGAGTGATTTCCATTGATTCTGACAGTAAGAGGGTGATAATCTCCTTATATGGGAATCACGTGACAGTAAGAGGGTGGGGTCCCTCTCAGAGTGCGGCGAGTTCCTCTTCAAGTAACCGCTCAAGTCAGCTACCTATAAAGCTATAAACTATAACCTGTGATTTCTGTAAATTCTGTCAGCTCGAGATGAGTAGATTATCTGGATCAGTGATTACAGAGAGGGGAGGGGCTGATTACTGGATTATTGTAACAATTACCAGCCCCCTCCCCACTAACTATTGTCTAATTGTGGTGGATGGTTCTTGACATATTGTTTCTATTATTGAACCTGTTACTAACACGTACTGTTGGAAGTTCAGAACAAACACTTCCATTTAACGGTTCAGTGTGAATTACAAAGATTACAAAGAGTTCAATGTCTCGAGGGAGGGGAGGGGGTTAGGGAGTGTTAGGGCTCCCCTAGACCACGTTTAATTTGTTTGATCCGTTTATATTTGATTATAAACTTTTGAGATTAATTAAATTTTATAAATTGTTCTAGACTGAGAGTTGAAAGCAATTAAAACACGTTTATTTCAAAATGCAAAGAATGAAAACCACTGATACAGATTAATCAAACTAATATCGCAGCCCACCGCACAACCACTTTAAGTGTAAACAATCTCCTTATAACGGCATCACGTCATTTTATAATAAAACCACTAATATCGCCACAGTTACACTACCACATTAAGTAATATCGCCATAGTTACACTACCATATAAGGTAGTGTCAAGAATTTACAATAAATCCTCACTTTCACAAACTCTCTCTCCACACACTATAAAATAGTTATATCACTTTTCTGTCCACTTCTCCGACAGATAAACTTTGGCTATCTTCCATTTCCTCCTCCTCTTCTTCTCTCAGATTCATTGTCTTGTCCACGTTATCAAAACTAAAACTTTGCTCTTCTGATAGCTCCACTCCCCAGCCTGGGATTTTGTTGTAAATTTACCATATACGGTAGTATTACCATGGCAACACTAATTTATACGGTAACATTACCATGGCAACACTAATTTATACGGTAACATTACCATGGCAACACTAATTTATACGGTAGTTTTACCATGGCAACACTAATTTATACGGTAGTATTACCATGGCAACACTAATTTATACGGTAGTATTACCATGGCAACACTAATTTATACGGTAGTATTACCATGGCAACACTAATTTATACGGTAGTATTACCATGGCAACACTAATTTATACGGTAGTATTACCATGGCAACACTAATTTATACGGTAGTATTACCATGGCAACACTAATTTATACGGTAGTATTACCATGGCAACACTAATTTATACGGTAGTATTACCATGGCAACACTAATTTATACGGTAGTATTACCATGGCAACACTAATTTATACGGTAGTATTACCATGGCAACACTAATTTATACGGTAGTATTACCATGGCAACACTAATTTATACGGTAGTATTAACATGGCAACACTAATTTATACGGTAGTATTACCATGGCAACACTAATGTATACGGTAGTATTACCATGACAACACTAATTTATACGGTAGTATTACCATGGCAACACTAATTTATACGGTAGTATTACCATGACAACACTAATTTATGCGGTAGTATTACCATGGCAACACTAATTTATACGGTAGTATTACCATGCCAACACTAATTTATGCGGTAGTATTACCATGGCAACACTAATTTATACGGTAGTATTACCATGACAACACTAATTTATACGGTAGTATTACCATGGCAACACTAATTTATACGGTAGTATTACCATGACAACACTAATTTATACGGTAGTATTACCATGGCAACACTAATTTATACGGTAGTATTACCATGGCAACACTAATTTATACGGTAACATTACCAAAGAAACACTACCTTTTACGGTAACATTACCATAGCAACACTACCTTATAGGGTAAAATTACCATAGCAACACTACCTTATAGGGTAAAATTACCATAGCAACACTACCTTATACGGTAACAAGGTTATACCACCATAGTATGTATATTGTACAATTTTTGACCTATTGCATCACCTATCACCTTGGTAACGATACCATATAAGGTAAATATTACACCTACCGATGGTTTGCTCAGCCTCCTGTTCCAGGGTTCTAGCTGCCACTAAATTCAGCAGACAGAGAGATAACACAAGTTTGATAGACCCCATCTGTAGGGGGGCTCTGTCTCCTAGCTATCACTTAGTGAGGGAGGGGCTGGTTAGTGAGGGGAGGGGCTGGTTAGTGAGGGGAGGGGCTGGTTAGTGAGGGGAGGGACTGGTTAGTGAGGGGAGGGGCTGGTTAGTGAGGGGAGGCTGGTTAGTGAGGGGAGGGGCTGGTTAGTGAGGGGAGGGGCTGGTTAGTGAGGGGAGGGACTGGTTAGTGAGGGGAGGCTGGTTAGTGAGGAGAGGGGCTGGTTAGTGAGGGGAGGGGCTGGTTAGTGAGGGGAGGGGCTGGTTAGTGAGGGGAGGGACTGGTTAGTGAGGGGAGGCTGGTTAGTGAGGAGAGGGGCTGGTTAGTGAGAGGAAGGGGCTGGTTAGTGAGGGGAGGGGCTGGTTAGTGAGGGGAGGGGCTGGTTAGTGAGGGGAGGGGCTGGTTAGTGAGGGGAGGGACTGGTTAGTGAGGGGAGGGGCTGGATAGTGAGGGGAGGGACTGGTTAGTGAGGGGAGGGGCTGGTTAGTGAGGGGAGGGACTGGTTAGTGAGGGGAGGCTGGTTAGTGAGGGGAGGGGCTGGTTAGTGAGGGGAGGGGCTGGTTAGTGAGGGGAGGGACTGGTTAGTGAGGGGAGGCTGGTAAGTGAGGAGAGGGGCTGGTTAGTGAGGGGAGGGGCTGGTTAGTGAGGGGAGGGGCTGGTTAGTGAGGGGAGGGACTGGTTAGTGAGGGGAGGCTGGTTAGTGAGGAGAGGGGCTGGTTAGTGAGAGGAAGGGGCTGGTTAGTGAGGGGAGGGGCTGGTTAGTGAGGGGAGGGGCTGGTTAGTGAGGGGAGGGGCTGGTTAGTGAGGGAGGGACTGGTTAGTGAGGGGAGGGGCTGGATAGTGAGGGGAGGGACTGGTTAGTGAGGGGAAGGGGCTGGTTAGTGAGGGGAGGGGCTGGTTAGTGAGGGGAGGGGCTGGTTAGTGAGGGGAGGGGCTGGTTAGTGAGGGGAGGGGCTGGTTAGTGAGGGGAGGGACTGGTTAGTGAGGGGAGGCTGGTTAGTGAGGGGAGGGGCTGGTTAGTGAGGGGAGGGGCTGGTTAGTGAGGGGAGGGACTGGTTAGTGAGGGGAGGCTGGTTAGTGAGGAGAGGGGCTGGTTAGTGAGGGGAGGGGCTGGTTAGTGAGGGGAGGGGCTGGTTAGTGAGGGGAGGGACTGGTTAGTGAGGGGAGGCTGGTTAGTGAGGAGAGGGGCTGGTTAGTGAGAGGAAGGGGCTGGTTAGTGAGGGGAGGGGCTGGTTAGTGAGGGGAGGGGCTGGTTAGTGAGGGGAGGGGCTGGTTAGTGAGGGGAGGGACTGGTTAGTGAGGGGAGGGGCTGGATAGTGAGGGGAGGGACTGGTTAGTGAGGGGAAGGGGCTGGTTAGTGAGGGGAGGGGCTGGTTAGTGAGGGGAAGGGCTGGTTAGTGAGGGGAGGGGCTGGTTAGTGAGGGAAGTGGCTGGTTAGTGAGGGGAGGGGCTGGTTAGTGAGGGAAGTGGCTGGTTAGTGAGGGGAGGGGCTGGTTAGTGAGGGGAGGGGCTGGTTAGTGAGGGAAGTGGCTGGTTAGTGAGGGGAGGGGCTGGTTAGTGAGGGAAGTGGCTGGTTAGTGAGGGGAGGGGCTGGTTAGTGAGGGGAGGGGCTGGTTAGTGAGGGGAGGGGCTGGTTAGTGAGGGGAAGGGCTGGTTAGTGAGGGGAGGGGCTGGTTAGTGAGGGGAAGGGCTGGTTAGTGAGGGGAGGGGCTGGTTAGTGAGGGGAGGGGCTGGTTAGTGAGGGGAAGGGCTGGTTAGTGAGGGGAGGGGCTGGTTAGTGAGGGAGGGGCTGGTTAGTGAGGGAAGGGGTTGGTTAGTGAGGGGAGGGACTCGTTGGTAAATTATAAAACGCTAGTATTTAATTTAAACAATTTTCTGACAAATTGGAACGTTTAAAATCGTCACTAAACTTGAGCTGCCTCTTGGCTGTGATGTTTGTAGTGAGGGGGCTGCCCTTTCACAAACATTTGCCCTGGACAGTTACAATCCTCAAACTGGTTGTTTTTATAGCAAATCTGAACAATGTGATCTGCAGATGATGCTGCTAATCTACATAACAATGTGATTTTGCAAATCCGTTAAAAATATAGCGCAAAATATCGACTCACCGTGGACCAACCCTTTGTTGTTACGTGGCGTGAATACTGTGCTCTGATTGGTTAGTCCGTCTCACGTGATGTTAATACTGTGCTCTGATTGGTTAGTCCGTCTCACGTGATGTTAATACTGTGCTCTGATTGGTTAATCCGTCTCACGTGATAGCGTGTGCCTGATATTTTGAGAATAGCGTTATTTTAGAGCTAAGCTTTTCTCGGACCACTCGTATGAATAACAATGTCAAGTTGTAACGGTGATCCTTTGAAAAATGTGCTGTGTTTTTATTTAAATCTTTGTGTTCGTCACAATATAATGCAAAACATACACTTCACACTCAAAACAAGATGTGACTTCCTCGGGCGAACATTAAAACATCCTAAAGGCATAAAATCTAAACAAACAACAACCTGTTACGTAGTTAGTTAACAACTTTATATCTATTGAGTGAAATGATATCTGCCTTCGACGAATAAATAAAATAATGCCCTGTTAAGTAAATCAACGCTACATATTTTAACAATTCCTACTTTCCTATATCAAAATTTTTTAGCGTATCGTTAAAATTATTATCTACCTTATCGGACCTTATTTGGACGGACATTACTTGAACGCTGGAGGCCCTAGCGTTCATCTTAATGTCCGTTCAAATAAATTCCGTTCAATTAATGTCCGTCCAAGTTAAAGTCCGTTGAAATTTTTCAAACATTTTTCCATTTCAAACTTTTTGTCCAGAATATGACAACTTTGAGAACTTTATTGTGCCGTAAGTTAACGACGGAAAGGTTCTCCTTGGTCTGCCGGAGGCACAGAAAACTCTACTACTACTATACTACAGCTAGTATATGATGTTTTCAAGGGTCACTTGACGGAAAAAAGTCAACGAAATTTATATGGCACTCAACAACATAGTTCATGAACTAGTCCCCGCCAACATGACAAACTTGTTGATGTTCCAGCCTCTAGATATTATGGGTAAATCGTGTTGCCAAGGACATTGTCCGACGTTGTTATAGTTCATATTATTCGGGGGCGGTAATGAAACAGTGCTAGGAAAGCTCCACGTGATGTTAAGGTTAACTTTAAGTTGTCTAAGATAAAACCACTTCACGCCGAATGGCTTGTAAAAGTAAAACACTGAAATGCAGGACCGGGGTAGTTTGATAAAAAAAAGGTTTCCATAAAGCTAGAAATCACTGATGCTTTGATTCACGATGTCAATCCTTCGCATCTCGCCGATCTGCATACGGTTGCGAGAAGCATTATTTGATGCGCGCGCGACCCAGTAGTGCATCGCGCTACAAACTGATGCTTTAAGCATGGACTATTTCATGCACGAAAACCCATTTGATGAAGATGATATGTGATATTAGACACTGATCATGTACACATTTTTAAACATGTTTATTGCTTAATGACTTCTTTTCTTACTAACTGTATAAAAAACGGATTTAAAAATCATTTGCTGAAATTTAAAAAACGTCAAAAAAACGTCAAAAAAACGTCAAAAAAATTCGGATTTTGATGGTTTTGAATGCCTTCGAGCGTTCATATTAATGTCCGTTCATAATTATGTCCGTTCATGTAATGTCCGTCCAAATAAGGTCCGATAAGGTATATACAGGGTGCTCCAAAAAAAACATGACCTTTTTTATAGAGTTATTTATAGAGTAATTAGAAAAAATATCTGATCTTCCTGAAACTTTCCAACTAGTTAGTCTTAATCTCTTTCGAAGAGTACTTGAAAAGTATTTTGGAATCCGTTGGATACTTTTCCCACAAAAGGCAAATTCCTGGAAGACCAATTACAAAATCTTTGCACGAATTGAAATTTCTCATTCAATTAAATAATTTGGGGCCATATTGACATAGGGGTAATATTAGGATGTCAATTCATGTTGGAAAAGCCAGTGGGACATTTTTTAAACGTTTTCAGACCCCATTAAAGCTTTCCAGCTCCATGATTATTTGGCATGATGCCCAAATATGGGGATGCAGACCTTGAAAATTGGTGTTACGGCCAAACGATACATTTTAGAATCAAATGGATTTCACCACTGTGTTCCTTGATACATTTTACATCCAGAAACATTAACCTTTAGATCGATAAAAGTGATTTTTGTGGTTTTATGACGGAAACTGCTTTTTAGCCAGATACCGCTCGTTTCCGGGCATGAGGAGCGTCCAATAAATTATCACAAGTAGTGTCAGAGCTACATCTGTGTATAAGGATGGATAAAAATATTTTTAGCCGAGCCACAGCCCCAGAACCTCACTGGGAAACATGTAAGAATTGGACGATTTTTTGAAAATAATTAAATTTTGAACTCTCTAGAGTGACATGATTACAACCATTGATCACAAGATATAAAGCTGTGACTATACAAAAGGATAAGTGCTTTTTTCTCCGTACCCCAGAAAGTGTGAAGGTCATGTTTTTTTGACTCACCGTGTATGATGTGATAACGCCGAATCATTAAACTTAAAATTTTCCAATTTGAAACAACTCCGATGTAGACATAAATATCGAAAGCAGGGCATTGGCTCGCCATCCGAGGCGGGGTATCCATGAGGACCCTGTCGTAATCAGCTCTGCACTGTTTCAGTGTATCCTGATCACTTCCTGACATGAGCCAGACTTCAGCTGGATCCTTCCTTTTTCTTAACTTCCCGTTCAGTCTACCTCTTCATCATCAGTTAGAGCTGCCTTGCATTCGAAATTTGCCTCCACAGTTCGCCACGGCACCTCTTTTGGAGGCCTCCTGCCGGGCAACACTAGCTCTCAGAGTTCAGACACTGGCTAACTTACCGCGCACGGTTTAGTTTTTGTGTCTTTTCCGTGTGTGCCGTTTTGTGCCGCCCTCTGCTGTTCTCG